ACCAGAAGAAAACCAACAATTATTACATGATTCTACAGGTTTTGAAGAAAGTTGTGAAGCCAATGATGAATATGAAGCAATAATTTCTACTAAAACAAGAAGCAAGTACCCAATTAAGCAACATAATATACGAAATAAAAATGCTTAAAATTTGTTTTAAATAATTCTATTATTTTTAAAATAAAATTTGAATTACTTCCATTAATTTCGACATTTTTTGTCATCTTTGACATTTTCATCACTTTCGTCACTTTCGTCACTTTTGGCAAAAGTACTTATCATTTGCCAAAATACTTTCCACCCTCCAAAATACTTTCGGCACCCAACCTTGGTTTGCCTGAATAAAATTTCACAATATTTGCTCAGATATTTGTAGGGAATTAAAGCGAAATGCAAAATGCTTAAAATATCTTTATTATTATTGAATCGAGCTAGAGTTGTTATCCATAATACAACTCAATTGATTCGAATGATTCATTTTATTTGAATGGAAACTTCAAGCTGAGCAGGCTCGAGTTAAAATTTGAATTTCCAAGTTCAAGAGAATAGGCTCTTAAATTGTTTTTTAGGCGATGTGCATAAATAAAATAAAAGTATGAAATAACCTATATAACATCAAACTCAAGCCAAGTCGAGTCAAGCTGTACATCTGGCTTGGTTCATTCGGAGCTTTATTCAAGTGTATGAGTATCATTTATTTTGAAAACATAAGTACTATAATTCCATGGTAGATCTGATATACAGTGAACCCCCCTTGGGAACATAGTGCTATTTCTTGTGAGCGTGCATTTATGGAGGGTGTGCATTTATGGAGGGTATACATAGTGTGTGCATTTAGGGAGGGTGCACTTGGGGAGGGTTCACTGTATAAATAAATTTCATATTAATTATTTTATGTGAAGACAATCCTATGTATTATCATAATCATATCTTATTGGTATATAGTACAGCTGTGTAATTTGATTATATAAACAAGTAATCATAAACTTGAGTACTGAGTAAAAAGTTGCCAAATTTGAATACCAAACACGGTTTCGTGGTTTTACATGATGGAAAAATAAAAAACCATTTATATTATTAAAATAAATGATTATTGAGGAATTATTTATTATTTATTATTTTTAAGGGCTGAAGATTCATTTTCTTAATATTCGAGTCAACCCAAGTTTGACCTTGTCCAGTTCAGCCTGAACGGGACAGCTAAGTTGATCTGAATTCTAGTTGATAAGTTGATTAAGTATTAGTGATCATTATTTTAATTATTTGTTTTATTACATATAAATAAATTATTTACCATTAGGAAAATGATCACCAATTACAATATTCATTAGTGCTGATCAATTTATTTTAGTATAGTACGATGCAAAAAGTAGATTAAATCACTACATAGTAAACAAATCTTTTTTTTAGTAAAACAATTTTTTTTTACTGATGATATTCTTAACAATACTTTGTATTTCATAAAAACTTATTTTTCTTTGAAAAAAAAATTTTTTTATTTTCGCTATATACACTTTACATTGTCTACCAAATCTTCCCAGGGTAAGTTTTATAATAAAAAAAAGTCCACCAAATCTTCCCACTGTTTACAGTGGGACAAAAATACTATAGAAATAGACAAATAACTGATCTTTATTTAAATTTTTTTTTAGAATAATAAATAAACATATATATATACATATATATATAAAATTATAAAACAAACCAAACCCAAGTACTGAAACTGTTTAATATATTCTAGTCTTTAGTCTTATAGTTTTTGTTTTTTATTTTCAAATTAGAATCAAACTTATAAACGCAATCTGTGCCAACATGATTATGGGTATAAAAACATTAATGGCTCACGAAGACATGAAGCTCAAAACAATAGAGGCGGAACAGGGTGGAAGAAATTTGTTCTAGTTATCATGAAGCTTGCATTTGTTCAAGTATTTGGAAGTTATATATATAACAACCAGAAAGTGGAGGAGGAAATAAAAGTTATGTATAAATAGGAGCACGTGTAAACAATAATAATTTATAATAATAATTTTTAATTTTACATTAATTTCTTCACCGAGTTATACTAATTATGTTTAATAATTATTACTGGAATAAAATACACATTCTTGCTGGATTGTAATTAAAGTCTTCCTTTATTACTGGTAGGATCAGAGCCTCGACTGGTGGCAACAACTGAACTTTGGAATGGGAAATATTATGACGCAATGCATAATTCATGAAATTTTTAATTATGCGTGATACAATTCATAATTTTGATAACATATATAGTAAGAATATACTTCACGTCACCAACTATATGTCTTGCGTCACAGATTATACCTGCGTCACAATTTGTTATGCTAATTATTAATAAATAAAAAGAAAAAACATATGTTAAATTAATAATAGCAAACATACAACATATTTTACAATGAATTATTTGTTTTCTTTTATAGTTATCCTAGTGGGTTTAGCTATTGATTACTTTGCTGACCGTTTGGGTCATGTGATTTTATAGTATTGTGACACCAAAAATAGTATGTCATTAATTTGAGATGATCAACAAGGGGAAATTTTTTAATAAATAAATTAGCAGTAATGTATGGATGAAAATTGTGTAAATATTTATTGATTATTTGATTTTTTTTAAAACCAAAATAAATTGTTTAATGATGATTATCAGAGGGATTTGTTATTTGACTTTTTTACCTGAAAATTAAGTGAATTGGTAATGTCTTTATAATGTTCCAATACAAGGTGGGATTATTTACCTTGTTTTAATGTCAATGAGAGAAAAACACTTATAAATGTATTCTTGAATGTAAAATTCGTTCAACGTTTTTTTTTTATGATAAGCAATGCAATATGATGAACATTAATTACATTTTGCATAAAGGAGAATTTTTTTTGTAGTAATAGACAGTAAAATAAATAAATCAACATTGTAATGATAAAATTATTTTTCTTTCTTCTTGGTAAATTTCATAGGTAATCCTTTCTTTGTCTAAATATGCTTGCAAAGATTTGGTATCTGCTAATTTAAAAATGTAAGGAGCAATTTTTTTGCCTTTTCTTTCTTCAAAATACTTCTAATGGTGCTATAATTCTTGGGCTCCATAGTAGATCGGATGTAAAATAATTTCATATTAACTATTTTGTCTAGATGAATATTGTGATCACATTACATTAGTAACACAATTGTGATGTTAAAAACACTATTGATCCCTGAAATCTTTGGTAATACCAATGTTCACTTTGTCTGGTTTTGTTGCAGCATGCCCCATATAATAGAATACAATTCCTATAAATATTCCTTCAAGAAGTCCCATTGTTATCATTGCAAACATTGTGATTAAGATATTCAGTTTTTTTTTCATTTTTCATTCGCTGAAGGCAAAAATTTTTATGCAAGCGGGAAATCAACAATTCTTCATTAGTACTAAGGCAAATAAATTTTTTTTCATTATGCAAGTGGGAAATTTGATAATTTTTTTTATTAGTAATCAATATCGTTATTTTCTTAATTAATTTATTCTTTATTTGTATTAACAAATGGCTTACACTGGTTTCTATTTTTTTAAAAATACACAAGCTCATAAGTTAGGTAAATAAAACAATAATAAAATAATAATAACGAAAAAAAAAATTGGGTTTAAAAAAATTTTTTTTTTTAAAATAAAAAAAAATGCCTAGTCAGTTAACTGGTATTATTATTGTTAATAACTATAAAGAAAAATTTACTGAAAAATATAAAATTGCATCAGGTGAAGCAAAAAGAAAAAGTGAAGAGTTAGAAGAGTTTTTTGATTTGTAGTTTATAATCTTTCAGCCAAATCAATCACTTTCACTGGAAGCAAAAAATTGTTTTCTTCATTTAAAGCAAAAAATTGCTTTTTTCGTTTGTTTAAAAAAATTAATAATTCTTTATTAGTATCATTTATTTATATTAAATCGTAACCAATTTCTGGCATGTTTTTACTCTCAAAACTATCTTTCACTATCATTAAACAATTTCTTGTACTAAACAATATCTTTTTTAAATTTTACACTACTGATCACGTTTCTCAGTGGGTGCCTTCCTTAGCTGTTATTCCACACTCAAGTCAGGTGTGTTCCCAAAACTACTAAATAAAATTCATTAAATATCACCTCACTAAAAGAAAAGAAAAGAAATAGAAAAAATGGACAAATATAAAATAAGAGAAAAAATGATTATGCATGGGATTTGGTATGGATTTATTGTTAGGGATAGATTTATTATCATTACGAAAATACAATATTCAAGTTAACAACAAGAACAAAGATAAGGACAATATTATTTATTATTCCTAATTTATCCTAATTAAATGTATTACTTGAACTTTCTGTGTAGAATTATTTTCAAGTTATTTCTAAAGTGATCCAATAGTTTAAATTCTTTTATTTGAATTTAATCTGAGAATTAAAGGTCTGCTACATCAGAATATTTGTTTCTCTGTTGTCTGAGATATTTTCCGTGATTCAATTATTTTATTGGTGATTAAATAACAATATTAAAATCATTCAACTTTGCCGAAGGCCAGAAATTTTTCTTCAAATAGTAACTTTTATTTGAATAGAGACTTTAAAACAGTAAATAACAAGTAACACTAGTGACGAAGTCACTGTCATAAAGCATTCATCTAGTTTTACAATGAAAAATTCGATGCCGATCATCAAAATTCACTATGTTTTTGCGATATGTCCCACGACTGGTAACTATGTAATGAACATCCATAATTTACATGAAATGCCAAATTTATTTTTTAAATTTCACAATTACTTATTTCCGTGAATATTAAATACAATTAGTCTGGGCAACTTTGTTTCTTATAAAAAGGCAGCGATTTCAATTTACTCTAATCAATAATTAAATTCACAAATAAAATTCTTCACAAATAAAATTTTATACAAATAAAACTCCATCTTTACAAAGAAATCATGAAGTTTATTTTGCTTTCCTTTTATTGGCTACGCTCTCCATGGTGGTAAATGCTATTCCACATCAACTTCTTAAAAGAACTACTACCTTTAATCAATGTCCTCCTATAAACCCTGGAGAACAACCACCACCTCAACTTAATGTCGTACTTTCATCTGATCCTGTCGTTCCTGAAAAAAACTGATGATTTTACTATTTCTGGAACACTAAGTCGTCCTGTCATCGATGGCGACATTACCGCTGTTGGATTTTTTGTTCCAGTAACTAAGACTCCAATAGGTGATCCAACTACCGCGCCAACCGACCCTAAAACACCATTTTCTCAAGTATTGAATGTTATTGTGCCAGAAACATTACCTGATCCATACGGTATTGTAGCTGTTGTTGTAAATCCAAAAGCTGGTGAAGTTACAGGCTGTGCATTAAGTATTGTTGGTTCTGCCAAATCTCCAGATCTTGACTATTATCCCATCCCATTATAATTAAAAATAATAAAAATCAAAATAGAATAATTTAATTGTTGATTATTATTATTTATTATTAAACAACGTTCTTAGAACGGATTTTATTAATTTAATATTTATTATTTTACGTATTATATTATTTAATATTATCATTAATTTTTATATTTACATGCATGTTGCTTAAATAAAAACAAATTCAAATTTATGAATTTCCGAAATTTTTATTCACTAGTACTAGAACACCTAGGTAAAAAATATGGCAGTATCCTTTGACACAACCACGCCACAACGAATGCAAAAAACAACCTCGACAGTATTCTGACTAATATCTAGGTTGGCAACATCACCTATTGTTTCATTGCAGATTTCTTGTCTATGACCAACTATGTTTGTTATATTCTAATTTTGATGTTGATTATATTGGCTTAATTTTCGATTTAAAATATTGTTGGTCGCCAAAACTATTTTGAAGGGGCGAAAGTCAAACTAAATTGAAAGTTATGTTAAAACTAGTTTCAACTTGTGGCGAAACCTTTTGACTTTCACACAGTTGAAAAACTCTCTAGTTTCCATGTAAAAATATACACGTAATTACAGCATTATTAAGGTGAGAAATTGACCCTTATATTTTCAAAATAAATAATGTTCAGATGCTTGAAGAAAAGAGAAAATTACCTATGAAGTTTACCAAAGAAAAAGAATGCAGGCAAAATCTTATGATTACATGATTGGGAAGTTTCTTTTCAAGTAATATCAAAGTTATACGTAGCCAAATTATCTTGTGAAACTTTGTTATGCAATGTAAATAGTGATACATATTAATGTAAACTCGATAAGTCGGTCATGTGGGGGTGAGCTCATATGGCCGACCTATGGAGTAAACCGACTTATCAAGTTTACATATGTATGCTTAAAAAATTTTGGTAATTTTGATCAGAGGAAAGAAAATCTCATGGTCAATTGAAAAAAAAATTTATTAATAAAACAAATAACAATATAATACGTGAATAATCTTATCTACAAATTCAACAAGCTGGATAATTGATTCACATGTTAACTGAAATTTCATATAACTACTGTTGGCTCAATATTATCTTCAAAACTGATATTAAATCTGTATGGAAAACATCATATTTATTACAAAATATTTTTTAATTTATTATCAATCCAGCGAAAACCAACAGGTTTCATTTTAATCCCATTTCTTTGAAGCAGTAGTTTTTATTTTTGGTGAATCGACTCCCTCTCATCTTAAAGATCAATATTTTCTAATGGAGTACATATGAAGTTGTCAATAAAATAAATATACTGTATATAATTCATTTTTGAAATTTCATGTACATGAGTGGAGAATATACAGATCATTTAAAAATCGTGTTATTTATCATTAATATTAATAAATCTTTTGTATAAAGATTCTGTGTAAAAAATATGCTTATTTCTTCGAATTACTGGCAGATTTTGCCAATCTACGTATTTTAACATCCCAATTATATATACGTGCAGTATCTTTTTTTGTGATAGTAAAGGAGATGTTAAAGAATAATGACAGTAATTATATATTATATGATTTTAATTTTGATTTTTTGATTTAGAAGGATACTGACTTCAATTGTGGTAACTTGTTCTCTAAGAAACTCTAAATCTTCCGATAAATTTTTTAAAGAATTTTCTGCTGTTAATAATTTACTTTTTATAAGTTCTTTTGCTTCTTGCAATGAATACTCGAGCATTACATTTGCCTTAAATATATGTGTGTGTGTTAAATTTATATAAATGTAAAAATGAAATAATATATTATTACTTACACCAAGCCATAAATTAACAAATTTTGTAGATTTAACTTTTGCCGGTATCCATAAAGTGTCATTTAATTCAAATGTGGTTTCCATTGATTCATCAGAATTCTACAATATACATTTTACAATTATTAAATCAAAATAATTTTTTTGATAAAATATGAAAGCTTGGTTGATTGATTTGCCTGTTTTTCCATCAAGAATTCCACTGTTTCAAGAGTTTTCTTAATTTCAAGTATTCTTAATTCCAATCCTTGTTTTTTATTAATATAATTTATTTCCATAAATTTATATTTACTGTTAAAAAAACTAAATGTTAAAATATTATTATTTTATGAAATAAGCCTCCAACCAAAAAAACCAACTTACGATACAGTTTCTTGTAATTTAGCTAATATAACTTCAGTAGATGTAGAAGGCTTTGACATAAATTCTTCGACATTTTCCTTTTTTTTCAAAAATTATCGCTTTTGAAAAGGATAATATAATAATAATAAACATTTTTATATATATATACATATTAAATTACCACAAATTGGATTTTAGGAATTCCACGAGGATTAGTCTCGAGCGTTTCAAATGTTAGACTACTACTACTATCACCGCCACTAGTACTAGTAGTTAATGACATTTTGCGAAAAACAAAGAATTAACAAAATCACTGATCGATCTGAAGATTATGTCACACTTACTAATAATGATGTCATATCGCGCATTTAGACATGGCCACCACCAATGTAATAAGTAAACCTCCGTCAAAGATGATCCTTGGCTCAAGTTTTGGGCTAATCTTGTCGGTTGATCGCAAAAAAATACATAATGATTCAGTGTTGTCAATTAATCTACCACTTTACTTTAGTTCTTGCTTACTGCCTCTTTCTTGTACCTAAAAAGTTTCAGTAAATCTGTAAGCACACTTGATGGTATCAGATAACTGTAAATAAATTCTTTTTATTTACTTGTAACCAATCTATTTGGCCGATTGCAAACTCGCTTTGGTTTATTTACAAGCAACTTAAGCAGTTCGTTTAACAATAACGCCGCCAATATTTCCAGTTAACCTTTGGACAATACTTTACTAAAGCGAATAACGTTACTAATCGTTGTTGTTAACCAACGTTTAGTTCTAACAAATAAACGCGACCTTTTACCAAAGCGCTTCGCTTTAAAGTTCATTTACGATTTTAAGGATAATTTTTACAGAGTTTTATTTTATTAGAATTTCAATTATCAAACGAGAACCCGAAAAAGTTAATACCTTTTATGGTTATTGTGTTTATATATAGAGAAAATCAAAGTTAAAGTGGAAAGCAGGCAGTAGTTTTTTTGGAAGTATATAGAAAGGGGTGCAAAAAATAAATCATCATTCCTTTGAAAGTTTAAATAAAACACGAGAAAATTATCTTGATCTTGAAAAGTTTTGTTAAAAAATGTCTTCCTTAATTTTTCTTGCCATTCATTTTTTGATTTTTCGTGTACTAACAACCTCCTTATTACTATGTACTGGTTTCTTTAGTCAAAAACTTCTTTTGCTAATTTTCAAAGTAAAATTTCCTATGGGCAGGCATTCCTTCTTGTTATTTTGTTTCATTATTTTCATCGTTTCTTGTTTATTTCAAACTTAGTTCTTTCAATCCTCTTTGTAAGAGTTAATTCTTCTTTGTTTTTCTCTTGTCTGACTCTCTTTCTCTCGGTAACAAATAAACTTTGGCCGATGCCCTTTTGAATCCATTTTAATTCCTACGTTGGATCTTCTTCAATATTTTTTTAATCTTTCCTTTCTTTGGGCTCCAAGTTTTGTTTAATTGTCGTCTTCTCTTTCCCACATTGTCTATCGAAAATAACCGTGTAGTCTGTAATTGGCGATTTTGGTAGGTTTCTATGATGTTTCCATGATCCTGAAAACATTTTCTGTTTTTAATGATTTTTCAATTATCAAAATCATTTCTTCATATCATCATACATTTACTCATCATTACCCGCTACATCTTTCTTTTTATCAATTTCATCAATACTAAATTCTTTCTCAAATAAATTCTTATGAATTTCGGTTAAAGATTAATTAATGAATAATCATAATGATCTAAATAATAAAGTGTTAAAGTAAGTTAAAATTAATTACAATACAATAAATAGACAAATAAATTCTTTTTTTTTTTGGCTCCGTACATCATGAATTTCACAATGTATCATTTTTATTTCAAGGGAAAATTGGAATTTATGATTTGCTTTAATGGGCATTAATAGTAGATTTTACTATTATCACATAAGAAACGCATTGTGTAGATCTTGACTTTTCATATAAAATTTCTCTGTCATTATTATTTATTAGCATTGAATTTCAATTATTATTTAATTAAGAGATAAAGCATCGGCATATGGTAAAGCAATTATGTCTCCAAGTGCCACAGTAGTAGGTTTACTTGACAAAATTTCATTAGCAATCTATATTAACATATTTTCAATAGAAAAAAAAGAATTAGTTAATTATCAAAAAAACCATCAATGATTTAATTAAAGATTTGGATTTCCAAATATACTTTAGTAACATCAGATGATTTGATATGATCATATCCTGACACTGCTTCGGAAGCAGAAGTGATTTTTGCAGAAGACAAAATCTAGTAAGATAAAAACATAATATTAGTGGTGGTGGTGGTGGTGACAATAACAAAACACAAACAACAACAACAATACCTGATTGCCCAAGGTTTCAGTTTTAGAATAACGTGCATCATAAGAAGCTGCAGTGTTATATTTTGCTTTTGCAATTGCTCGTTTGAATTCCTCTATATCAACACCTTTTGCAACATGTTGTAATTGTTCGACTGTAGCATCAACAGCTGAACGTATCGATGTTGGTTTACCTGAGAAATATACACCAAAAATACCTGCGTCTGAATAACCAGTATTGAAAGCACTGATTTTGGTATCAACAAATTTATTTGCTGTTTGAGCAAGTTTAGTAACACCTTCACCCCACTTTGTATATTTATCTCCATCTAGTAGCGATCTAAGAATCTGAAGAGTATAAAAATCAGATGTTCCCCCTGGTGCTCCCTCGAATGCAAGCACAAAATGGCTTGTATCATTTCCACTAGACAATCTAACCTCGCCTCCAAAATATTTGGAATTGATTGGTGTGGCTGGTAATGTATGATTTATATCTTTAAAAAGATTTTCTGTTAAAGTTTCCAACTCATTATGATCAACACCAGTACCAATAATAGTGATATTCGGAGCTGTATAGACTTTGTTGGCATAAGCTATGACATCTTCGCTACTTTTAATCTTTGTGGTAGAATTTGCAAAAAGTGAATTGCCAAGTCCATTACGAAATGCTACTTCATGTGTTGTTTCTAAAGTCAAAATTTCTGGGGTTGATTCGGCTGTACTTCTTTCAAAAGCAACACTTTGTTTCACTTCTTTAAATTCATGTGGTTCATATTTTGCATTGAACACAACATCAGATAATACACCTAAAAAATAGTCTCTATAATAACAAAATGAGAAAGATGATGATAATAATAATAATAAATAAAATTTAAGACATACAGATTATTTGGTAAAAATTCAGCAGTAAGAATTAAATTTTCTCTTGTTAAATTGGCTGTTAATACACCGCCAAGTAGTTCTGTTTCACGTGTTGTGCGAAAAGCAGTTTTATTTGTGGTGTTCTATATCATTTGAATAAATTCAATGATTAATAGATATTTGTATATACAATTTCAATTATTCATTCACTCTAACCTTAAAAGCAAAATTCTTCAAAAAATGTGCAGCTCCAATATTATTAATAGTCTCATAACGAGGACCAGCCTTTGCAACTAACGAAATAGAAGAAGCTGGTGCACCATCTTTATTGAAATACGTACGTACATACATAAATACATGCACATATATATGGTTTAATATATCATATATACAATGTGCATTATTATATGTTGTCTTCTTCACCTTGAATAGAAACTGTCGTTATTCCATTTTTTGACTTTGAAACTGAAATTGGAGAAGCTGCAACACTAGCATATTTACGATTTATTAACAAGCTGTTAATAGGAGAATAAAGTTTATTACTTGACAATTTACAAGCACGGAACATTATTTTAAAAAGTGAATTTTTTTGTTACACGAATTCTGAAATCACACTAATTCAGTAATTAGTCAATGAGTATGTAAAATCCTTTAAGTTTAGGCTACTTTTAAAGCTCTATGAATTAAAAGGATAGTTAGTTAACTTACCTTCAGACTTAAAAACTTGTACTCTTTTTTTATGTTGTAAAATAAAAATATTCTATGAAAAAAATTTTTGTTACACGAATTTCAATCTTTTCTAAATTGTTACAAAGTATGTTGCACTGATTTGGTTGAGTTGTATATACAGTATATATTCTTTCGTTAAAATAATATATATTAATAATATTAATATTGTTTGTTTAGCACTTCTTTGAGAGCGTTTTGTTCAATTTATTTTTAAAGAAAATTTCATGTAAAACTTCAAAGTTCAAGTAAAGATTTTTTACTAACGATATTAAAAGCATCATAGCCATAATAAATAAAATCACAAAAATGCTTGCCTTCGCAAGTGAATTGTGATCGGACCATCCTTTAGCTTTTTACTTCTATATTACTGACCCATAAAAATCAGCTCCACAAAGGATTAAGAAATGAATGAATCGCATCACCCAAATATTCAATCATCCCTTAAAGAAAGAAAGACCGTTCAGCAATGGAATCGATTTTGAAAAAGACCTGAACGTCGTTTGCTTCAAAACTTTTGAAACGTTTTTACTGTGTGAGGGTTGGTGAGTGGTTTGATGTGGATTTGTTTTAATCCGAACTTTCCGTGCTTTCCGTATAGGACAAAGGGTTCCATCATCTTGTTATCCAAGTGGTAGCGGAAAAGTTTAGTGGTTAAGCCTCCCTCTTATTGGGCCTCTGTGGTCCCCTTTTCGATCGCAAGCTACTTAAAAATCATTTCCAAAATAAAAAATGAATAATACTAAATCTGATATGTTGAGCTTTAGATGTCAGATTTAACATTCCTATCTTGTTGATCCCTAACTTCCTTCCAAGTTTCCTAATAATAAAAAAGTTGAATAAGGATGAACTATATCATTTCATAGTCTTTCCGGATGAATAAAACTGATTCTTCATATATACATTTTTTATTTTTACGGTTGATTTGAATTATATCAATGGAATTGGTCTGTAATTGCTAATACTAATGAATTAACACACTATTACATTTTCTATGATATAGTGAGCTTAACATACATGCTATTTAAATAAAAAATGGAGCTTATGAGGTATCAACTATGCAACAAAGGGTTATAGAACGGAAAACATAGATAGTAGAATAGTATAATGAAAGAAAAAAGGAATTTTGCTTTGTGGTACTACCAAATGAATGCGTTCCGACACTACGCGCCTCAACCCTCATAAATAACGGACACCATATCGATACTATGTATCTTAGCCATGGAAACCCGAATGCATTGTGAAAAGTAACGCAATTACCTCAATCCTGACATTCAAATACGTTATGAAATGCAATCCATGTATGGCAATTCGGCTCAACGAGCTCGAGAAAATGACGCACAGAGTCCGAATAGGTCAAACGTGGCTCGTCATAGTCGATAGGACATAGAAGGCTTAGTGAACACCATTTCCTTTTTATCGCCTCTGCTAGCATGATGGCGCATTTATGGATCAATTTTCATATGTGTATTGTAGGCAAACGTAGACTGAATCGGAATTCTAGGATACTCTGCATCCCTTGACACATGGTACCTCGAATGTACCTGGGATTTGTGAAATACGGGTAGGTACTCATTTAATAAGCCATTGTACTTATTTAAATTAAGACATTTGACTTATTGGACTAGTTGTAAATTATTGGTGGTCACCGCCAAATCGGATCTTGCTTTTTTATTAATGATGCGAATTAATATGCGAAAAACAATTTGAGTTTTGAATTTATATTATTATTTAAATAAAAGAATTCTTTAAATGATGACAGGGATCAATAATTTAAGAGACTTTTTCAGTGGCATCTAACATCAAATCAATATTCCTCATGAATACTAATTAGCCGAGTAAATTATTATTAAAATGTCTTTCCCAAATCTTCAAAAAACAGAATCTCACATTTAAATGATCTTCATACATGTGATTATAAAAAAAAATTGATGAATCTATAAAAATTTTTTTTTAATAATAAATAAAATGGTATGTTTTATATAAATGTATAAATATATTGAATTGAATTGAATTTTTAAATTAAATTAATATTTATACACATGTATATGTAGCCATCTCATAAAACTTTTAGGATCAAACGTGTCCTTGGGAAAAAACAAAAACAAAATCGACCGATTCCTCATTGGATTCGACTTCGTACAGGAAATACAATCAGGCAAAATAACAATATTATAGATTAAGAATGTTTCCTATTATGTTAATATTTTAATGAATGATGTTTAATGATATTTAATATTATTATTATATAGATATAATGCTAAACGTCGTCATTGGCGTCGTACTAAGCTCAATCTTTAATATATTATTAATTTGGAATATTTAATCAGTTAATAAAATTTGGATTTAAAAAGAAATTAAAAAACTTCATTCTTTCCTTTTCTTTCCTTTTATCCTAGAAAAAATTATTAATAAATTTATAATTCTTTTACTGAATTTGACAAAGCAAAAATTTATATAATATGTGGGCACGCTGTAACAAAGCCAGACAAAGTGATTAGGAAGCAGAATGCTTATTTATCTAGCCACGAGTATTCTGTGGTTCCAAAGGCCTGAACAAACAAATATCATTATATTTGCATCTTTGTAAAGAAGTAATTTATATCTGGCTTTATATGCCTTGATGACTAGGTATTGGGTTATATTTAAAAATCATTTCATTGCCAAGATTATAACATATCTATTTATATATATAAACAGATATTCAGAATCGAACCTAATAAAACTAAGAAATATCATGTTTGCACTGAAAAATGACTGTATTAATGTGGCGGGAACTAAACTTTTCACTGTTGGCTCGATCATGGGCTCTCTGCATCTATTTAAAATCAAACAAAACCATTTAAAGAAAATGTAACTAAGAGACAAATTGCCCAATTGACGTTAAAATAATTACAACTTTAATTAAAACTATATTTTTATAATAATAGAACATTTAGTGGCAGTGTTATTAAATATGTACACAAGTAAACTCGATAAGTCGGTCTCTTAATATAAGTCAAACTCGGCCAAAATTTTTTCTGCCCTTTTTTTCAACATTTAAAATCTCTTGATAAGTCAGTCAATCCATATAAATATAAAATCGCGATAAACTGTAAGTCGACCAACCCTTTTTTTCTAAGATATATTGTAAATTACCATCGATAAGTCTATATCACGTGATATTTTCATTGAGCGAGAGGTCATCATTACTATTTTAGTAACCTGTAATATTCAAAAAAAAAATTTAATATGGTGCGTATCACCTATACTCATCAAAAATTTTCATGTGACTTCTAACTGTATCTAGTCCACCAATTTTAA